CCAACATTATCAGCAATCACCTGCAGTAAAAACCCAAGAATAAAAAAAGCGATAAAAGTTAACATAAACATGTCTAGTATTTACTTGGTAAAAACAGAACTTGGTTGATAAAAAATCCATTCACAAGCAGATTATTCAGCATAAAACACAGAAATAATAATAATAAACCTCTATTTTTCTCCTTTTCTCCATTTGGGTTTGTCTTGAATAGATGGAAAGCAAAAGTCTATTTTGGAGCCCCATAATATCACCAGCTTGATTAATATTATCCAATCAAGGTCTATAGATTCACCACACATGTGCGGTAAATAGGCTTTCAGAAACAACGAAACTTATCAAGTGAAAAAGTGACAGCTTTAGAGATAAATTTGAAGTAGAGATAAATTTGAAGCCAGACACGTCAAAACAAAAAGTAATTGATCAAAACTCATTAGAAAAACTATGAAGTTAGTAAAACTTACAGCTGGGTTTCGAGGATCATCTTCCGGAATATTTCTCTCAACCTTCCCAACAAGATCAGCACCAACATCTGCAGCTTTGGTGTATATTCCCCCACCCACTCTTCCGAAAAGAGCCATAGATGAACCACCAAGGCCATAACCAGTAATGGATTCATAAAGGCCTTCCCAGTCATCACCATAGTAAAGCCTAAACAGATTAATGGTAATATACAAAACTAGAAGCCCATTTGCAGCAAGAAGAAAACCCATCACTGCACCAGACCTGAAAGCTGTAATGAAAGCCTTGCCAACCCCTTTCCTTGCCTCGAGGGTAGTTCTGGCATTTGCATAAGTGGCAATCTTCATGCCAAGAAAGCCAGAAAGAACTGAGGTAACAGCACCGAGCAAGAAGGCGACAGTGGTAAAAACGGCATTAGCTAGAGCTGGCTTGCAAAGTTTCTCCTTGTTATAAGAGCAGGGTTCACTCTGAGTGCTAAAACCCTTTACGGAACCAAGGAATAGAAATATAATGATAGCAAAAGCACCCATGAAAATGCCCAGGTACTTGTACTCGGTGTACAGGAAGGAAGTAGCACCTTCAAAATAAATTCAAACAAACGAAATAGAGAGAGTAAGAGATAAGATCATGCAGTCTTTAAAGAAGTATTGAAAATCACTAAGAGAAATCATATGAAACCCAATTTCATTGTTTAGATGAGTATCAACACAGTGTAATTAGATTCAAAACAGGGAGATCAAAATCTCTACCTAAAGGCTCTCAATGGGAAGTCAAAGGAAATGCCTTCACCTCCAAAGAACAACGACAAAGCAATTTATGATCCACAGATTTTCAGTTCACGATGTTTACATTACAGTTTCTTTTTGCAATAAATTAACACTTGCATCTCTAGAGTTTGTGGGACCTATATAGAACGAAGCCAAAAATTTGCAAACAGGAATGCCAAAAACCTAAAGAAAGATGAATATAATGAGGAAAAAACAGTTCAAAAATAGAAGTGTATCCATTAAAAACAGAGATCAAATAACTATCACAACACCAATTACCCTTTATCCTATGATATCATAAAAGGACAATCAAATAACACCAGAGGACAATCCATCACCAGGGAGGTTAACTTAAGGGAAATTATAAAACAATCCATCTTCTAAAATCGAACTCCCAAGTCTGCAACTTCTACAGGTTACAACTGAGCAGCAAATGAAATAAAAATTAAACAAACATACATAATTTGTAAACCAGTAAAACATTTAATACACAAAATGAGAAACACTAAATATGTGAAAGATATTTCAAGAAAAATAAATATAACTATTAACAGTACCTATAACTCTGCCAAACCTAAACATTGGAGTACAAGTTGAATCCTTCAGTCAACAATTTAATAGAAATTAATGAAGAGAAAAAGTGTGCTCTCAAACTCATGCATCTGGACAAAAATCTATAGCAGATTTGAAAATCTAATTAAAAATTGCATAAAATAGGAAGAAACAAAGAAGAAGAAAAGGGTATATAGATCTTTTTTTAAGCAGATATAGAGATAAAAAATGCTTGAATGTTTTTAATGAACAAAAACTCAATCAGAAATTCATGATTTATCAGTTAAACAACAACAAAATACGAGGATAATGATCATGCTAACATGACAAGGATGATGATGACAAAAGCACTAATTGGGGGAACAATAGAAGCAGAAATAACAACAGCGATGAGAAAACTTATAATATTGACAATAACAATGACCAAACTTGATGACGGTGAAAAAAAGAAAATGTAGATTTCAGTATATAATAAAGTACCATAATCCTTTTTCTTGTCAAAATCCAAAAAGTTTTATGGACAAAAGGCCAAAATAACATCTGTATTAAACAGATCCTACAAATGATGAGAGATACCATGATGAAACCATTGATTAGAAACTTTAACAGCAATCAAATGACATAATCAAACATTTCAATTAAAAAAGGAGACACTAATATGCGCGTGTGTGTGTGTGCGTGAGAGAGAGAGAGAGAGAGAGAGAGAGAGAGAGAGTACTTAG